CGCAACACACGTACGTGTCATATGCATTTATATAAAAACTCATAAAGAGAAGGGGTGAGAGTATGAAAAGAGGTCAAGTAGGCAGGTTGAATTAAAGGCTGAATATCAATGAGAATCAATAGAGCTGAAGAATAATAGTACATCGAACTTGGTTTTCAACAGATGAATTTACCAAGGAAGATTTAATATGACAATAAATTGTTTATGAACACATAAAGGTAGTTTCAACTTCCTAGTAGCTAAGGCTTCAACAAATTTTAGGATGCCTCCCCAACATGTTTTGTAAATAGGTGTAAAAAAACTAGCCACATCAATCCTGTGGCCTGTCTCGACGATATGTTTAGTGATCAAAGAACTTGGACGTCTGCTACCAATATTTATGGTTTCAGGTGATTTAATTTGCTTCTGAGGCCACTTTGGAATATGTTCCGAAGCCCTTACATGCATGGATCTATTATTCCCTTCTATGTATGTGTCACCACAGGTACATTTGAATTGGTACATACAATAGGATGTGATATTGTTGTTCACATGCTGTGGCGCTTTAGGGGAATATACGCGCTTCGTGATTTCTGCATAGTAAGTTGTTCTAACAGCAGCGTTAAGTTTCTGCTTAAGGATTGCACTACGAGAGTCACCTTTATACAGAAGGCTGATGAAGACATCCTTCTTTGGGACAGACTGAAAGTCTAGTTTTGGCGCTCTGATAATTTTGTTCTGCTTGATAAATATTGATGGACAGAATATCAGTCAGTGTTCTTCTTTCGTCTTCTAAAATATCTTCTGTGCATATTCGTTGAATTCAACTATATAACAACTGTCAGTTATAAAATATAATATGTTTCACATAATATTTGTAAGCTTATTTACAATATTCTTTATGTCTTTGTAGTGTTTTTAAGTTAGGTCACCAGTTTTAAATGTGAAAATTATGATTAATAATCTATTTTAACAGCATTTTGATGAGCATATCCTTTGTAATGAAAATAATGAATACTTAATCTCAACTTCTAATACAAGTAAACCATGCAGATAATTTTATCGATAGTTAAAGAGATTTTATCTTGGCTATCGGCCAAAAATGTCGGCTTTTTAATTCAATATATATATCACCTTCCAGTTTACTAAGTTGTTATAAAATCGAATCGAATTGAATTAAATGCATCACTGCAACACTCTAAGATATGTAAAAGTTCATCTGAGACATTGGAAATAAGAACCTTAAGTTAAGAAGAGGTAGCAGAACCATTGCATTGCTTGAAAATAAGTAAACTATGGTCCTTATCGTAATGATGGATACTGGCTAGCAGTAGAATTCAGGATGTGTATTTCGTCTTTTTTGGGACTTGTCAGCTGAATGTACCACTAAGCCATGATAGCCGTTTGTTGTGCGACGGGTATCGTTTTAGTATTATTGTTTGTATTATACCATCGGTCCATTCAACGACATAACTGGATGGCGTAGTGGATAACGCTTTGTTGTTTGAAGCGATCGGTCTCGAGTTCGAATCCAAGTGGGAACAAATTCACTTACTGGGAGGCAGGTATATCCAGCTGACGAGGTCCAAATAGGATAAAATAAGCATTCTGAATTCCACTGCTAGCCACTATCCATCATTACTATATAATTAAGAACAAAAGCAATAATACTATGGTACTTATCGCCTAGAACATTTTCATAACTTAAAAATATGAAATATCTCAGTGGTTAAACTTACTACAAATTTAGAAATTACTTCTCTGTTGTTATACATCAGGTACAGTACAAATAAATGAAATAAAATTATATTTGTGAAAGTTAATTTAAACAGGAAGTAATAAAATCTATTTTCATAACCTTTTAACATGAAGTGCTTGAATTAGTTAACAAGATCATACAGTTTAGATAATTAGATAGGATGTCGTAGTTTCTGAAGGTTATATCCAACTACTGACCTCTTAGTTTTTAATTTATAGTGACTCATTTTGTTTATTCTACAGTAAGTGAAAATAATTCACGCCTTAGAAACTAGTGAAATCGAATAAATCACTTGTGTATGTATTACAGTGATAAATGAGATCTTTATTAGTATATAAGTATCCCAAAATTATTTAACAGTATGACACAGCATGATAGAGTTTACTACATTATAATCTTGCATAGTCATCTACTTTGAGACGAGTTGCTTGACGATTATTTCAAATGTAACAGTTCGTTAGATGGCGTACATAGCTATAAGTGAAAAGTTAACATAGTACCGGTGCTTATGACACTGTATTGCACTTTAAATTTTACTAGTCGAATATTACCAGTCTTTACGCGTTCACCATCTACTTGTCCTGGTATTCGTCACTGAGCATACGTACCAATTCAAAAAGCCTATGAATATTCAAAGAATTGCAGATAGAAAGCAAAAGCAGAAACGAAGAATGTTCATCTCAATACAAGTTCTATTCAGGCTCTACAATTACAAAATACGATTTGTACAGCATGAAGTCAAGCCATGTTACAAGAAGACACATTTCAAAATTTCAGTGTGATTTAGGGATTGTAAAGAAATCCATCCTTCCTTTTGTTTATCATCGCTGACTACAATACTGGATGACATGAATTCAAATCTCACAGTAGACATTAGTTCCCTCAAGGTTGTAGATACCCCTTAGTGACGAGTGTCAACAAGTGAAAAACCAAGATCAAGCACAATTCCCCCCCTCGATTGCCTCTATCCAACTAACATTTCATACAGTCTCCAGTAGAACGCTATTAATTTATGTAGAGTTCAGGTTTGATCAGTTGAGCAGATGTTCAAGAGCCTGATGTGGAATGGTTTCTGGAATATGCAAGCGTACAATCAGGCAGATACGTCTCCCTGTATGAGAGCATTTACAAACTTGCTTCAAGACAAAGGACGAAGTGAAAGTGGTGAAAAGTTCAGTCCTAGCATACCTAGTAGATACTAAATACCACACAGATAGATGCCAATAAAGCTTTCTATGTCATTCATTGTAATCGAAAAATCATACCACATGTAGTTCACCAACGCCTGTTCAACACAATGGACGCTGTCGCAATGAGACTGATGAAGTCTGAACTCTGCATTCAGAAGGCACATGTTAGAGTATTACTTCTCGCCTTGCCCTCAGTAAACTAAAAACCACTCCTCCGTTTTATTCGTTATCTTTTTGTTCACTATCATCACTGACATCTGTATATGGATCATCCCAATATTCTTCAAATGAATTCAGTATTTGAATTAAAAAATATTGGTCATTCCTTGTTTGGTAAATCGTATCTTTAAGAGTAACTGGAAGGTTGTAGAGACACTGTGACTGGGTTTTTTTTGATCTAAGTAATCCCCTCTCTCTTATCTCAACTGAAGTAATCACTTCCATGTGATGTGAATATTGCACAACTTTAAGTTCAATTTGATTCACATCCATCCATCCAACATTGGGGTATTGGTTTTTGAAAGAACTTCACCTAACATTTATCATTCTAGTTAGGAGTTGGTCAATCTGAATTTTTCTCTTAAACTAAATATACACCTTACCTAGGAACATGAAGGTTGTAACAACTGACAAATATGGTTGTTGTGCATACAGGAAGCGTGGTAATAGAAAACGTCTACAACCAATTTCTTATAAGTTCTATATCACCGTGCGAACCCATCAGAATGAGATTGGATGACATATTTATGCTGTGTAAGAGTCAAGGAGAGATTGACAATTGAATGTTCACTCATTGAAACCTAAACCATTAGAGACAATGTACATGATTCACAACTGCTATTTTCATATTTAGTACAATGTGCCTACAAGTGACAAATAGATCAGTCTTCAACCGCCTTATTAGTGTACACCTGGGAATGTTTTTATTTATGATTATGTCTTCATAGGTGCCGAGTAATTAATAGCGTTCTACTGGAGACTGTATGAAATGTTAGTTGGATGGAGGCAATCGGGGGGGGGAATTGTGCTTGATCTTGGTTTTTTACTTGTTGACACTCGTCACTAAGGGGTATCTACAACCTTGAGGGAACTAATGTCTACTGTGAGATTTGAATTCATGTCATCCAGTATTGTAGTCAGCGATGATAAACAAAAGGGAAGGATGGATTTCTTTACAATCCCTAAATCACACTGAAATTTTGAAATGTGTCTTCTTGTAACATGGCTTGACTTCATGCTGTACAAATCGTATTTTGTAATTGTAGAGCCTGAAAGAATTTCTATTGAAAAGAACTTTCTTCATAGTTTGTTGCTTCTTATCTGTATTATTATAATCTTCTTCTGTATGAAATTTTTACTGTTTTAGATATCAGGAATATGCAAAGGTCACTTGTTAAAGAATCTATGACTATTTTATTCTCTGTTATCTCCCATAGGAATAGCTGTCAGTTGTTTAAAACGTTTTATGGAAATCTGCTGAACCTTTTGTGAGAGTAATGTTTTCATTACTTTCATGATGCTAGATTTCTTTGTGTATAACGTTATTGTGAATCAGTGAATCTAACAGATGATATGAGAATTAGTTAGTTTCAAAGGTATCTTTTTCAAGGAAATTTTAGTTACACATCACCTAATGCATACTTGCATTAAGTAAACTTCTGAATGAAATTTTCTGAGTAGTTTTTATCATATTGTTTCCGCTGCTGGGTTACCACACCTTACTGATTAGTACTGATTGTGTATATCACTCATTATTTCATTCTATCTCCTCTTACATTCGTAAATGTTTCATTTTGTCACGGGATTTGATTATATCAGTATGGTGAATACTGGATGATGATTGATGGAGAAATGATGATTTGAATTGGTAAAGGATTCAAGCTAACGATTTCCGTGTTTTTGATCCAGTACTCTACCAAATGAGCTATAAGATCTGGCTGCTGACTAGATCTTTTATTTTACTTCAACCACTTCATTATCATTTAAACACTTCTTAATATTGTTCAAAAGGTTTTTTTTGTTTTCTGATTGATGAAATGTATGACTTTTTACCTCTCTATTTTATACTTTAGAATTGGCGCTCATTTTACATGAACCTAGAAAAGCTTCAGCTCGTGCGATTGGTAGAACCAAATTAGCAGGTATGTCTTCGATTTGAAAATATTATTTATTTTGCGCACAATGAAGTTGTGAAGACTATTTTTCAAATATTTTAAATAAGATTCCAAAAAATACGTGTTTCGTTCAATGCACTCATTAGTAAAATTTAGGGTTTGTTTACTTAGTTATTTGTCCATTGAACTCCTAGTAGAACATAGAGCTTCATTAGCACGTTACCGTTTCACTCCTTTCTCTGAAGTCTTTCCAGCATGGCTCCACCAATGCCCACAAGCTTTCATTTCTTCCTCACACCATCTCCTCCATGTCACCCTCGGACGCTCAACTCGCCGTTTCCTCTTTGGTTTCCACTTGATGGCCTGACGCATGGTATCTCCAAACTGTCTTCTCAGTGCATATCGAATCCAATCCATCTCCATTTTCTTCTCCTGCATATTTGTTGGGTGATGGGTTCCTGGTTGGTTCGTTCGTCGCCAACCACAGTGAGTTCCTCCTTGCTTATTCTTATTATTCTGGTCATCTATCTGATCTTCACTATCGAGTGAGCGTAGGTGGCAGCTGTCCAAGTATGTCTGTAGTTTATTGGAAATCCTTCTCGTAAAGCCCCAACTCTCTAACCATCACATGGAATCACTAACTTACTTGACTGACATTACTGTTGAAAATCCGGATGTTGTTCACGTTTTATGCTGAGTGCAGTGCAGTGTAGTAGATCTTCACAATGATTTCAGATTGATGAAGGAAAGCTTGTCTTGCTGTCTTTGTGATGCTGACTGCCTTTGACATCCTCATAGGTGCCTGTACCGTCTGTCGTTGAATCGATGTTGCCTAGGTAGGTAAGTAGGCAGGTGGAAGAGACATCTTTCTTTGGATTTCTCCCGTTGATGGTGATCGTTGTTGTTGTTGGTTGAGTATTTTCATCACCTCTGTCTTCTCTACGTTCACCTGAAGGATGTCCTGACTTCCTTTACTGCCTGGTCTCGCTTCACCTCGCCCCTTCCGCCAACTTGTTAGTTTTCGCCTGTAGATCTTCGAGTTTGTATGAAAAGACATTGGACATGAATCATCATCGTTGGCGAAATCCAAATCTTGTAGGGTCCTTTTATTGGTCAAATAGCGTATACCTATCTCCTTATAACTCCTCACAGTTTGTTGCATGATCCATTCCAATGCAGTTGACCATATTCAGGAAGATTATCGGTGTTAGTAGACAGCCTTGCCTTACTCCTGTCTTCACTTCAAAGGCATCACCCCGCTTTCCATTGTTAGTCACTTCGCATGCAGCATTATTATTATCAAATAGCTGTTGAAGGTTTGTGGCCCAAAAGCCGTGGTGTTGAGGCAGCTGCCTGTCAAATTACTTGTGGGTCGACGCTGTCAAATGCATTTTGAAAATCGATGAAGTTGAGGTAGAGGTAGGTTGACTGCCATTCTATGCTCTGTTCTATGATGATGCTTAGCGTAGCGTTGCAATTCGATCCTCACATGATTTGTTTTTCCTGAAGCTAGCCGGCCTGTTCCCGTCGTACTTTTGAATCCACAGCATATTTTTGTTTAATGTCTCCAGGACGATGCAGCCTAATATTTTGCTTGGGGTGGACAGTGGTAGAGCGTGATTCCTTGCCAGTTCTTCCAAAGACTCAGGTCACCCTTCTTTGAGAGTTTGACAAGGTAGCCTTTCTTCCAGTCGGCAGGTATCTTTCATTCCTTCCTTCCTTGCAAACCTTCTGCAATAGTTGTGTGAACGTATCTGCCGATGTCTCTGCCTTTGTTTTCAGTGCTCCTGGCAAAATTCCATCTGGTCCTGTTGCAGTTGTAAAATCTTTTTCGGAGCAGTGTCCAAGCGTTCTGTGGCATTTTTCTGCCTTAGATTCTTATCTCTAAATTTCATTGGGTATCCATTTTTCATGAAGATTTCTCGCAAGTTTTTTCTTTCATCATCCTCTGTGCCATAGTCCTGAGAAGAGTGAATTGATAAGATTCCTCTTTAAGCTTAAAAGCATACAGCTTTGAAAACTAGTAAACTATCCACTTCAAGTGGCTTTCTGTAAGTAGATTTCTGGACTGAATTGTCATCTTCTCTTTGAAGTTAGGTGTCAAGAAAGTGGACTTTCGAGTACAATTTTTTTGGTTCGAAATTACTTTTTACTGTATTTTTACAAATGTATGGCTGAGAGAATGATTTCGTCAAAGAGAAAGATATTTCATCACTGCAATCATGTATGTTATCTGGAATACTTTATTTATCTCGAAAAACTATATTGAGATATATTCCTTAGTTGTTGAGAGATATATGGTATCTCTGAAAGAAAATAGCTTGTCAGTAAAGTTCTAAATTACGTTATTTGAGTACATTCAGAACTTCTGGTGTTATTTTAAAATAAAATGTAATAAATTTATTTCAAGTTGTTATTCATCGTAGACTGACATCATTTGGAGGAACAAAGGAAACCTGGGGCACTGGACAGCTGTTTCGTCTCAGTATGGGACTCAGCAGTGTGCACCCACGACCCCAACAGGGATCGAACCCCCGATCTTCAGGTTCCATGACCACCACGTTATCACTGAGCCACTGAGTCAGAACCCAATGGTCCATATTTCCAACTTCTGTTAGCTGATGCACGATATAACGCAACCGCCATTGGATTCTGACTTAGTGGCTTAATGGTAACGTGGTGGCCACGGGACCTGAAGGTTGCCGGTTCGATCCCTGGTTAAGGGGAGGGGGTCGTTAGTGCGCACTGCTAAGGAGTCCCAGTGCACCTAGGTTTCCTTTATTACTCCAACTGATGTCAGTCTACAATGGATAACAACTTGAAATATTTCGAAATTCCCACAACTCCCTTAAAATAAATTTATTGTTTAAAACATTTTGTAAATGTTTTATTTTTATTCAAATAGACTTGTGATAAATTTTCTTTCCTCTTTTTTTTTGACTTTTATTTTCTATCACTTGGATAAATTGGATACTAGTATTAGATGTATCAAGTTTTGAACGACTTATGGGTCCATGTGTAGAAATTATGCAACGTGAACTTGGTCATTATCGTAATCAATTATTAGAAAGCTTGGGACCTGATGAAATAAGTAAAATTCCTTCATTGGCTAAATTTGTAGAATCTGAAAAATAATCCTTATTATTATTATTATTGTTATTATTATGTGAATCATTTTAAAAAATACATGAGATGTGTTCATTTGGAACTATTATTATTATTAGTAGTATTGCTCATTGTTTCCATATGACTGAATGAATAAACAAGATGTTTGTTAACTTATTGTAAGTGTATGAATATTCAATATTTCTATTCTGTCTTTTACACTTTACAGAAGATATTTAAAATAAACATTAATTATAATGAAAATATTACTAAATATGAAGATGATATTTCACTGATGTATTTATTCATTGTGTGTATTTCATCCTTGAATTTATAGACTACAATTGTACACTTGATGATTATCTAATGTTTATTTATTCAGTTATCTCATGTTAATTTTTCACTTTATCATGTATATACCTTAACTGAATGTTTAATTGAACACTTGAATAAAAAGTAATCAGTAATATAAGATACATTAATATAATTGTTTTGCTTTTATTTTATAGACCAATAAAAATAGTGGAAATTTTATTCGTCCATGTGTTATTGTTTTATTTTTTTCAAGCAGTTCTTGTTTATCTTCATTGAAATAATGTTACTCCTATATATATATATATATATATATATATATATATATATATATATATATATATATATATATATATATATATGTATATAGTTTATATGAGAAAGTTTGTATGATTATCATTACTATTATTATTATTATTATTATATATCATTACAGCTAATACTGATTTCATTTCAGAATTCTATACTTTCATGTAACACACAATTTAGGTTGATATTTATTATGAACTGAGATCAATTGGAGAAAATTTAAAAACTTTGGAGCATTGGACAGAAGTGAGCATCTATGACCCCTTCATGGTTCAGACTCGTGACTTTTGATTTCGATACTAAGGATATTATCATTCAGCTATTTAGTCGGCTTTTATAGGTCCACATTTGCTATTGCTATCAGTTCATGGTGTAGCCAGACTTCGATTTAATACCGTCGTTGAATAACTGTTCTCATGTTCCATATGGTTGACCCCATCGATCATGACTTCTCATCAGAACTTCGGAGATGTTATCTCAAAGCAAGTCACTAATAAGCACTAGAGTAATTCAATTGTGAATTTTTTATGGCGATTTATTTATTGGTAACGTGCTGACTAAAGGACTTGAAGGCCCTGGGTTTGATCCCTGACGGCGTCATCAGTACACACTGCTAAGGAGTTCTATGGTGGGACGGAACCGCCGTGCACTACCATAAGGTTTTCAATGTTTCTCCAGTTGATATCAGTCCTTCATAACTGTCAACCGCAAATCAAGTCATCAGTACTGCGTTCCAGCCTAAGCGGGAACAACATCACTCACTAGAGTGTAGGTACATTCAGCTGACCAGTCCCAACTAGGATGACACATACTTCCTACACTCAACTAAGCTACTAAGATAATTACATCTTTTGATACATGTCAACAATCAATGCAACATCACACACACTTTTATGAAATGCACTTGGTCCCCTTTTGGGTTCCACTCGAGGGACAGGGACAGTAAGTTAAGCTTGAAACGTCACTAAGATGAATTAGGTTGGACAAAGTCTCAAAGTGACGAGACTAAGAAGCGTAAAACTGTCAGTCTGAGCCGTGTAGGTAGGTGTAGAATATCTGGCTGGGGCCCACGAGACCACAAAAGCTAATGGTTTGGGACGCCTGACAATGTCACTGAAGATCGGTCACAATGACGTAGGTGTATTCACCCTCTGCCGTCATCTTAAGCTTGAATAATTTCATGAGTCTTGATTTTCGAATTGTTTATCTTCTCATACACCTTTGTCTATTTTGATGTTAATCTTTTTCTATCCACCACCCACAGTTATGTGCAAGATTCTACGTTGATTTCGCTTGCCTATCCTGCCTTCTCAGTGTATATTTTTCTTGTTTACTCACACAACTGACTTATCAATTTATACCGTATAAAAAATAAGAGGTAAAAGTTGTGTGTAAGTGCGTTCGTCTTAAAAACTTGATACACTCGTAATATAACCATGTTAAATGAATTAGGCTGATGAAAATGATTAGGAAATCAGTGATAGATCTGGTAGTCAACTAACCAAATATTAGTGTGTTATGAACTGAAAGTACATTATGGGATGACTGTTAAGTGCGCCAAGTGGCTTCTTTCCATAGCACCACAAACCCCACCCCCCTCCTCCCTTAGATGATAATCAATGTTGAAGACACCAAAAATCAATGAACCTCCTAGCTACATCAACATACTCAATATACATATTCATATTTGTTAACGTCTCTTCTACGACTCATAAAATAGTCAGTAAGATGATTTAAAATAATTTAGATCTTAGTGTCGATCTTATAAGCGAAGTAATTAAGCAGTGAAATAATACTATTTGTCTCATTCAATAGGTTTTCTGAGAAATAATCGTATTTGTCAACATTAAATTACATAATCTTTTGTTTAATATAGTGTTATTATATCGACATTAGATATAGCATTGTATTTGTGTAAATCACAGCAGGTTTGAAATCAATAATTCAAACGTTTCACACGGAAGTCTGGTCTGAGTTTTTCAGGGAAATAATCAAAATTAATATATCAAGGATATATGCAAATGAATTGAAAAACGTGTATTTCATCTCCTTGTCTAATCCTCTTTGTATAGTCATTGTCTTCCTTCTAAATTATGATAACTAATCCAGTCAGTGTGAACTTGTATGTCTTTTGTTGCATCACGTATGTATGTATGTATGTACTCCAATTCATATTCGTCTTGATTGTAAACATTAGACAAAAAGGGGACATTGGTGATAGTCATTCGGTTAGGGTCTTTTTTATAATTACAAATTGAAAAGGATGAGGTGGATGTGTATACAATTTCAGTTGAAGTAAAGTGGTGAATAGTGTTAGCGAATTCTCTCCTCATTGATTTACCGAAATAGAGTGTAAATAGGTGGTAGTTATGATGGTGGTTGTGGTGATGATGATGCTAATGTTAATAATAATGAATCAGATCAGTCCAGGTTGTGTTGTTGTTGATGCAGAAATAATGGAGTTGAGATCAGTGTTTTGAGTCACTCTTTCTGTTTACTAATTAGTAATTGCCAAGAGGCAGCTAACACTGTACTCTATCTCGTCTGTTCAAACTGTCTGGATTCACCCATATATATGGGGCTTCGGCTGTCAATCTTTCTTGGTATGACCAAAAACCTTTTTGTAGAACCTTAGTTCCGTCAAAGTCAATCTTGTGTCGCACTTCTATGGAATGTAGCGCGATCGCGGATTTGTTTTCTAGTTTCCTTAACCCCTGCTGAGGTTTTTGGGATCTGCTATGAGTATAGTTTATGCTCATTGACGAAGAGGATTAGACGAGGAGATTAAATATACGTTTTTGAATTCGTTTATGCATATCCATGATATTTTAATTTTGATTATTTCCCTGAAGAAGCTCAGACCAGACTTTCGTGCGAAACATTGGAATTATTTCACTTCAAACCCGCTGTGATTTACACAAATACAATTCTATATCTAATGTAAATCTCAGATAGTTAAAATAATAATCTGTAACTCAAGTAGGTTTGGAGATAGTATGGAGAGTTTCATCTGTGTAGTCAATATAAAACGGATCAATTGATAGTAAGATATCATGGATTCATATGACATTTGGGCAAAATCTTTGGTTATTGATTTGAAACTAGGATCTGGCCAGTAGTTGGGTCATGTAGCTCAGTTTGTAGAGCATCAATTCGATAACCCAGAATTCGATGTTTCAATTCCTTTGTAAGTCTAAATTTTATTTCACCTTCAATCATCAGCAAGTACAAACTAAGGAAATAATAATAATTCGTCAATAAGTCATATAGATGTTTATTCTTATGATATGAAACAATTTTTAATTTAATTTAATCACAATCCAAACACTTTGATTCGGTTTAGCTCATAAACTAAAAAATTCCCTTCAAACCTTATTATGCAAACTAAAGGACACATCAGCCAAAGAAGACAGATAGAAAATCATTGATAAAAACAACTGCAATCATTATGATCAATACTACATCAGAGAAAGTGGTCAACCTCTTCGCCTTCTTCGTCTACATGGACACCAATTGGCTATTAAACGCCACAATATTTCATCATTCATTTCAATACACTTGGATAACAACCATGGACATGTTATCAATTTTGACAGTCAAAATCTTGAGCAAAGGAAACACAAAAATATCAGAGAATTCCTAGAAGCTTGGCATTCAGCAACCAATACAGGTAAAATGAATCCGTTGATCAATAAGATGAGTGATAAACACCAACAAGGTCACAGGTCAAGTAGACGAATAGCCAACATGAAAGTATTCAACTTATTAGAAATCGATAATCACATCTCTATGCATGTATGCTCACTGATTAGCAATTTTGAACACATTGGAGCAGCGCCAAATATCATTTCGCTTCCAAATTTAAAAAGTTGTAAGGAAAAAGTTTGTTTAAAATGAATTTTCATAACTGATTGATATCAGCAATTGCCTAAAACAATAGATTATTGAACAACCGATTTGTTCTAGGTTCAAATCTTGTGACAATATACACCCATGACTGCTTATAGCTTAGAAGTTTGACTACGGAGTGTTAAGAAGCATTTCCACCTAAAAATAAAACAAGTGTCTAGTACTCGATGGAATTAGATAGTTCTTTCTATCGTTTTCATCAGCGATTACTATCATTTAGTTCTTCTTAAGATGTTTAGGTACTCGTCACGCGAAACTCTATATTTCTTGCTCAAATTCTTGAGATAGAACTATAAGATGGTGTCTAAGAGATACTAATGAGAAACTTTAAAGTTTGTGTATTAAAAGATGCTTCTAAAGATCTGACACGTTCATATTTCACTTCATTCTACTATTTGTAACATCATGTATGCGAAGATTTTCAATAACTGTGATAAATTTTCTGTTTAAAGATACTTACCATGTGATGATGTATTTGATAACATCTTTTCATAAAAAATATGTACAAAAAGGGAACAAATATTTTTTATTTCGCTTTGCTTGAACCTGAAATATTACAATGTGTAAACTCTCTGTTAAATAAAGTATATCACGAATTTATAGGTTCTGTATCCACTTGTTTACATTGTTGCGTTTCTGTGGTTTCTTAAGTGTCTTCTGACCTACTTTCAGTGTTCTGAATGTAGTTTTGTTGAGCACAAATGAAAAGATTGTCATTAACCTCAGCCTACTACAAGACATACAAATCTACATTACATATCTTAGTAGTCGGGGAATAACACCTACATATCTCAAGAAGAAATTCACTATTCATGTGGATAAATCTAATCTCATTGAGGCTTTAAAAAGTATATATTCTCAATTATGACATCTTTGCTATTCTTCATCCTTTTGAGTTCAGTCTTTCTAGAATATTATCGAATACTTAAGATATTTGAGCAATCGTAATAGAAGTACTAAAAGAAATCAACCACGGTTAACCAACGATACTTTGAACA